AAGGAAACTTAGTATGAATCTAAGGATAAAACGACAATGCGTATGGCGTTCATCAATGCCCTTAAGGACACGTCATGCATTCGACCCCACTCGTGGTATAGGAGAGGTGACTGGATGCATTTTTGGCCTGAACGATGACTTCCAGTGCATTCCAATGTACTGAATCAGTAATTTATGCTTGCGGACAATTTACGACAATAACTAGCCGAACCTATATAGATAGCTCAGCAAGCACTGGCAACGGGATTGAACCAAAGACTAAGGCTGTATTGCAGACCACTCTAACCATTGCGCCACACTCATCACTTGGTATGAATTAGAAGAAAAAGTGGTAGCGAATTGGATAAAGAATCGTTACATGTGATAAGCAATACGTACACACTTAAATAATTAGATTTTGCAGCATCGTTACATCTCATGCGCTTCTCAAACTCTTTCATCCCATTCATTTCGTTGTCTTGAGTTTCGTTACCATGAATCACTATCCTTTTGGAGGATACCTAGTAACGACGTCGTAGACGGCAAACCAACCCTCTTGATCTATAAAGAGTAGCGTGTGCTACTGGTCACGAACTAGGAACGCGCTGGCACGAGATTTTCAGAAATCCAAATGGATAATTGTGTAGACCGGCAGCGCACTAGTGAAGTGTAAAACGTGCTGAGTCCTCTACTACGTTATTTGTGACGACGCATTATTTAACATTTATGCGACGGAACGACCTTTATAGGAGTCATTTGTTAAAGGACACAGTAGCCGATGTGATTCTCATAGAGGTCACTTTGTTTTCAGCGGCATATTTTGGTGAACAAAACTATATTCCTATATTTCATGCAACCAATCGATTGCTTATTCAACTTAGATGCTATGATGACAGCGAAGCGAGAAAAGCTCTATTCTGTATACAGAAATATACAAAAAACCTTTTCGGAAGAATCATATGCGAAAACGTTCTGATAAAAACCGTAAAAGCACCGCAGAAATCAGAGCTGTTTGTTAAAGATTATTTCGTTTTAATGCAGGATGATTTATCCCTTCTATGGAAATTTTGCACAAAATGTATTAATCCCAAAAGAAAACCCGATAACGATTTGTGTGGTGTCCCAAGTCCAACGGATTTCCCTCGATTCGACGACTACGGAAATCCACATCGCAAAAAACAACTGCTGTGGAGATTTGGATCGAACTACTGTGGCTCTGAAGAAGGCAATGGGACCTAAGTGCTAGCAACAGTAAAGAGTTCTTCGTAACAGGGTCACGTTAACCTGTCAATACAACAAGACATTGGTCATTAATTCCGAGGTTAAAACAGAGTATCCTTAAACTAAAAACGTTCTGGTGATATTCGCCTAGAAGCATTGCCATTCTGAAATGATGATATCGCTGAAATGTGAACCAGAAGCAAAAAAAATTCTTCCCAAGCTTATTTGAGGGTAACATTTCGTCAAAATTATGGTAACGATTACGGTAAAACGGATGAAAACGATAGAATCTCGGTGTTCATTAACACAGAGCTATACTTTGTCAAATTTTTGTTGTAATTTCAAAGTCATCAGCACCTTTCACAAACGTACACGCAGAAGTCAAACCGCTTAGTGGCTGAGTCGAACCAGCGACTGTTTACACAAACATGGCTCGTCACTGCATTGAACTAGACCTCATGTGGATGCGAATGATACCATCTAACACTATCGAAGCTCAAGTTAGTCGCCTAACCTATTCAACAGGAGTCTTCAATACACCTGTACTAAAAATAATGCCGCCAGTTTGCAACTAGGTTCTTCATTATAGATTTTTATGGTTTATCGATTTTTCTTTGCGTTTTTCATGGAATAAAGGACGAATACAGCAGGAAATTAAGGTAAAGCAAAGTAATAGGAAAAAATAGGACACTTCTCCAGTAAATCACAAAGACATAATTCGAAATGTTTGTGAAATGGTAACAATGCCGGTCGGCTGACACGGCCGACATGAGAACATTTGGAATTCAGCAATGACGCATCGTCATGCATTATTGTTGACAACAATACTCGCGCTATATATCAAGGGTGAAGGAAGAACCATGGACAATCGACTAGGATCAATCCAGCTCTGAGGAAGGCGAACCTGCCGAAACACTGGCGGAATAAAGTTCTTCACCAACTTCGTGTTAGCTTAGCAGTGAAAGAATAAATACTCACTCTATTAAAAAAAGCCGTGAAATCGTCTACCGGAGAACATTTCCATCGGTTTTGGAAGCTGAGCGGATAAAGGACAGAGCGAATCACTTAGGGAACCGCTATGCGTTCCATTCCACTCGTAACATCGCAGAGGTGATTAAATTCATCTCTCACCTCTTTGGTAACGGTACTTTGTTGTAGTTCATTTGTATACATTTGCCGAACGGGCCTATTAGCTCTAATATTTATAGTTGATTGGAGAGCAGTCGCTTATCAGCCTACATAAAACGCTCCACGGTCTTCCACCACTAATCATATCCACCAATAGAGATGCCCTCAAGGCTGAAATAGTCGTCCAGTCGAGTGTGAATTACTGAAAATCTGGTTCGTGGTGACATGTAGACAGCCACCGAGCTTTTCATCGCTCATCGCACTTGTAACGGTAACTTAAGAGATACATTTTTATTTGTTTAATTCATATGACCAAAGTTCACGCCTTGTTCGGATTCCAGCATCGCTTTCCTTCGGTTCGTTGTCTTACACCCATCATCCGCTACGGTCCTTGTATTTATGCGTGGATTAAAATTCTGCTCGAAGATTTGGCCTTCTTCATGAAGTTCGCTAAATGATGGTCGACTTAAAGCTTTCTCGAATTCTACCATAGCCGTGCCAAAGCGCTTCCAAGACTTTATTGCAGGCATTAGCTCGTCTTTGTTGACGTGGGGAAACCTTTTCTGGACAAATACGAGGTCTATTCCACGTGTTGCAGGTCGCTTCCGACCACTGCACCACACACGCGCTTTTTATATACATACATGCCTATATTATATATACAATAAAAAGCATGGAAATTAACGCATATTTTTGACGCTTAGAGACCGATGTCTTACTTAACAGCCTCGCTAACACTGATACCTATGCGTGTCATAACGAAGTTGCTGATGTGGCCGGTATGGCACCTACGGGTGTCACTTTCTTTTCGGTGGTTTATTTTGGACCACAGAGGTTTTTTTCCCCCACTTCTTGTAATCAATCGCAAGCTTATCCTACCCAAATGCAGCGTAAGGCGTCGCTAATAGGAGGTCGTCGTTTCAATAATTTCTCACCAAATTTCTTCTTTTAGGGCGAGAGACTACTGCTACTACAGAGTGCGGCATGGAGTGATGTCAGTGAAGTGGCGCAGCATCGCTTCTGTCTGGAAGAACTTGCTTCGCATACAGTGCTCGGCATTATTTTTGACAAACAGTTCGTTGTTTTCAAATTTGCAAACGTAGTGATAACTTGTTTAGAATGAGAAGATATCAAAACTAAACGGTAAACATCCTAATAATCCTTGCAGTACTCATACAACTTCATTAGGTACTGTGAGCAGTACGACTGCATCCTGGACGAGTGTTTTCTTCTCATACACAAGAGTTGTATACAAACCAAAAACATCAGAGGGTTCGTTGATGAACATAGAGCATACACAGGATAACACAAGCCCTGAAACTCTTCGAAGACGCAGAAAAAACCTATCCATTGAATAGAAATCACAGAAAAAAGAGAGCGACTTAACAAAAAACTGGCAGAGTGGCTTGTGCCATCCATATATGTCAGAGTGAGCATAGTGAAGAATTAGACGTCCCCTCACTCCACAAAAAAACCGAAATGAAACTGCTGTTGCGCAAGTGCTAATTTGGACGGCTCCTAATTTTTCACCGCATTCACTTTGAATTCGTTCCATGATGCTTTTGGCACGAAGTCTTCTTGTTTTCGCTGCCTTTGGTGAAAAGGTGGTCATGCGCAATGCGCTGGACATTACCATAGCATAGGTTTAGCCCTAGATGAGATTCCGGATGCAAATGTTCAACACATGGAGACTCAGTTATGGTTTCCCAAGCCAGAGAGTTAGTCACTAAGGCTCACCCCCAGATACAGTTAAGGAGTGGGAATTTGGAATAGAGTGACTTGCACTAATCAATTAGCATTTGTCTGTTCCCTGGAGTCTTCAAATTCGCTCTGAATCTGCTTTAACGTGCTAAATACCCACAGCAGGAAGAAAATAAAACGGGGTGGAAACAATTTCCCAAGTTAATAGAATATGCAGCTCCCGTTGCTAATGTTTTCCATGGATATAACTTTAGTTCTGCCTTCAATTAGTTAACCATAAAAATGAGAAATAATGTCATTCTGCGAAACCATTCAGTTGACGATACTCCTGGGGGAGTTATCAACGCATGACCACCCATGAGATTACTAGATATGAAAATACGGCCCACTATCTGAAAGAAGATATTGAGTGGAACTATTTCATGGTAATCAGAATTGCCTCCAAAGTTAAACAACAGTTGGTGCTAGGGAATACGGGACAGTATTCCAGTGTCGTAGCCAGCTTACCAACAACCAGTTATAAATCTCAAGAAGTGTAAGGAATTGTGCGTCAGCATGACTCCATAACCAGGTTTGATTTATTTAATTAATAAAAAGTACAAATATTTCAATCGGCTTTAGGATCATCGGTTCTGAGGAAGACGAAGAGGTCGAAGCGTCAGCCGAATAAAGTTTTCTTACCAAACTCGTGTAAGCTCAACAATTTAGACACATGTTCAAAAAGTACAAAGTTCGATTAGGTGTAGGACAGCAGCTCAACTAACGAAGAATTCGACTCAAACAAATTACACGAGTGCAAACATGAAATTTAAAAAAAAGCCTTATACAATAAAACTACTTAAGGGTCACAACAAACTACCTTATTAGGAACAAAGAATAATCCAGCAATAATGGAGGAAACTATTTGTAAAAAACCAACAGAAATTGATAAGGGCTTAAAAACTTATACAACTTAAATTTCTATACATTAGTTACGATTTGTCCGAACCTGGAGATCCAGGCTCTGAACCAGAAGCACCTCCGGCTGATTTCTCGTTTAACACAACAAATTCTCTACTTGAAAAACCGAATTTCAGTACATCCTTTTCTTTCAATTCAACATATCTGAAATGAAAACAGTTGTCCACAAGCAGAAGTAAACATGTTTCAAGTTAAAACTGACTATACGCAGTAAAATAAAATCAAACATGTTACTAAATGAAGACTTGTGATATCCTACAATTTGCTAAAGCGAACAAAACCAGACATTTATCTAAATACGAGTGTAGAAATAGTGCATTAGAATAGATTTGAAGTGCCAAAATAACTAATGTAAATTGTGAGCTACTTAAGAACTTCGATACTTGAGCGCTCCGTCATCACTAGTTGTGCGGACCCCAGCATAATCACAATTTTTCGGAGATTTGCTGGTTCAGCCATTGTGGTTGCCTGGAGTCCCAAGGACAGCCAAACAAAAGTCTGTTCCAGGTCGTCACCAACACAGGCAGTCGCCGCCCTTATAGATCAGAGGAAGGTTTGCCACCACGCGACTAGTTCGGTACCAGGACTGTGGTGGATCCTGGTATTGGTTTACTCTTAGCTGGGCCTCCTGATGGAAACGCCGGACTGCTTTTCGCAACTTGAAATTCCCTGGTGAGGGGATGAATCCCACGCTGTAGATCGCAGTCCGACTCCCAGGAACACCTCCCAGCCACGGTGAGGCAATAAATCGTTGGGAGGAATTGTGTTGCAAGATATGTGAGATATACTACATTAAACTCTTGTGCAACTGCATTATGAACATATAGTGAGGAACATCACAAAAACTAATGAGATCTCACCTTTGAGGTTCAATCTTTGATCCATTAAGAAAGGTTCCATTAGAACTCCCCAGGTCGATTATATATGGTAGAACACGACGTGCCTTTGTGCCATCTACGCGCTCAAAAGGAACTGATCTAAAAACACAGAATTCGTTAATACATAAAAGTTTCCGAAAATAAGTCGCACCTGTATTGTAAAACAGCGTGTTGCTTACTGCAGCTTGGGTGATCAATCGGTAAATCGGCAATTTTCCGATCTCTTCCGATCAAATAGGCGGATTGCCTGTGAATGTGAAGAACCGGTAACGCCTCATCGCCTTTGAAAGGATACAAGCGCCATCTAAATTTGAACAGATCAAACAGTGAAACGTGAATATTTCAAATAACCACTAACTTCTCCTAAAAAAACAGTATTTTTGGTAAGCAAAGGTTTTTAGTTTCGTGTGGAAAACAAGAATCTTTAATGGAAGAAGATTCACCGCAATGTTGGCTTCTTAGCCTCGGGTGGCTCATTGTATTTTATCAGAACTCCGCGATACATATTGGTATCTTCAGCCAGTTTTCCGCTAACTCCAAGATTCACCTGGAAGATTGATGAGTCTGCAGACCATTCATGAACCCCAACGTAGTATAGTTCCATACCTTTTCCTTTACTGGAGGGTCATTATTCTTGCCGGAACCCCATCTTTCCGATACACCCCATCGATCTCTCAAAAGTTTCATTAATATTGAATCGCCTCAACAGAAAGCAAAAGTTCAAGTAAGCTATTCCACTAACGTCAAGTTTGTCTCAGAGTCCTTTGAAGGAGCATTTTCCTCGTCCGTTTCACGTTTAATTTCTAAAACTATTATTTCCACTCCTTAAATAGGATAACAAAGAACACCAAAATAAATGTAAATAAAGGAAAACCATATTATCAAACTATTAAAACTATATTAACAAACTACTTACTTTTCTCAAGCCCGTAATTCTTCCCAGATGAATGACGTTCTACTGGAGAACCATCGTCTTCGAATTCTCGCTTTATCTGGCGAACCCGGTTACTTCCATTCCCTTTAACACTTCTAAAACAGCAGCAGATAGAAATAATAAGAATATATTGCTAAATGTATGAAACAGTTAACCTATCCGTATCGCGATTATGACCATCACTCTTGTCGAAAGGCGATCGTCTAGAATGGACGAAAATTACAGACGTTAAATAAGACATGAGAAATTTCCAGCTATGAAAAATAAGAAAAAGATAACAACTACAAGAAAGTTCAATTATAGGACGAAAACTTCAAATTCTTTTAAATTTTAATTTTTGTAACAAGAACTGATAGCAGTCATACTACATAATGTTAACTTTTTTATATACTGCTTATGACAATTTTCAACGGAAGGGTATTATGTGCTATAGAACCACAATGATGCTGAGATATTTGCAAAACTCCGGATCTTGGATGTCTACGGTGGGGAACGAACGCCTTATTAAGGGTGATAGCAAAATATCTCAGCAACATTGTGGCGGTCTCACACGTAATACCCTGCCGTGAAAAATTGTGATAGGCAGTAAATAAAAAAGTTGACACCGTGATTTCGACTGCAGCGTCAGCTTGACTGGCTTCATTGCCGATTTGGGATCCCGAGATCAATCTCGTTGACGGATGACTGCTGATAGCGCTGATCGATAGGACTAGCTGATGGACGTGCGAAATGAAAAACCCGCATGGTGTGGTGACGAATGCGTTAGCCCCGGAAAGAGTAACAGCGCGTTCGTTCCCCACCGCAGACACGTGCGGTACGAAGTTTTACAGATATTTCAACATCATTGTAGTCATACCATATCGTTCAAGTCTTGATAAAAAAAAAATCGGAACGCTTTCATAACACCCGTTTATATATTAAAAACAAAATCACTACCTACCTTTCTCGTCTTCGTGGAGAACTCGATCGTGATTTTGACCTGAAAAGCGTATATTAGCAAACGAAGCTAAACAGCAGCAATATTTGTTGAACGCATCAGAAGCAGAAACCGAAATAGATTAGAAAACGAAAAAGCACACTTTCCATTGATAAAATCTTGACAGTGTCCTATTGAACCAAATTTCCTTAACACTACTAGAAAAAGGAGGAAAAATTACCATGTCTTAGAATCAACAAAGCACGAAAAATCTCCAAGTCTTGCAATAAACAGCACCAAATTTTGCCATTCTATAATGATAGATCGAATGATGATCCTGAATGTCGCCTCACCTTCTCCGTTCTCTTCTACTTTCTTCTCGATCGTCCGCATTTCTAGAATACATTCGAAATAGAAGAAATATGTAGGAACAAATCAAATTGATGGTTGGGATTAAATATCAACCTCTTCGGTGTTGCTGAATTATCCCTTCGGGCTCGTCTAGATTCCGGTGATGCCCTTTAACAATGAATATCGTGAGTCAAATAGCAGTTAAGGATGTTACAAGAATCTTACATACTTTCTTGCAGCTTTTGAAGAGGAAGTTCCTTTGCTTCGCTTATTTTCAGTTGAAGTTGACCTGCAACATAGATCGTCTCTGGAATTCTATTCCAAACAATTCACAACAGAAATAGCTCACGTGTCGTCATCATCCGAATCTTCAGATGTGCTCACATCTTTCTTCACTTTTTTGGGCCACATCTTTGGGCTTTCAGCTCCTTCCCTTGACTCACTGCGTTTTCTTCGACGACAGCGAGAATCACCTCTCTTTCTTCGATTTCTTGATTCATCTCTTCTTCTGCGATCTTTCGAATCATTTCTTCTTCTGCGATCCCTCGAATCGCCTCTTCTGCGGCGATCTCGAGGATCTTCCCACCTGCGGCTATCATCACGACGTCGACTCTCTCTATCTGCAGCCAAATACGTATCTCTTCGGAAGCGCTCACGCCTGTCATTAAATCGTCTGGGACTACTTTTTCTTCTCCTATCATATGGACTCCTGCTCCGCTCAAGTGAGCGATCACGGACACTTTCTTTCTTCCGCTGCACAGGCGACCTACTCCTATCTTCCCGTATTTTTTCACGAGATTTATTTGCTCCACTACGACGTCGTTCGCCCTCAGGTGAGTTCGGTCTGGAACGAATTTGATCATGTCTATCAGGAGAGCCGCTTCGTCCACGTTTCTCGGGTGATGACTCCTCTTTTCGAGTTTTATTACTGACCTCTTTTTCTTCATCAGACGACCTGCTTTCAGAGCCATCCATTTTTCGAGGCTCCTTAGATCTTCCCAAAGGTTCCTCACAATGTCCCTGCTTCCTTTCCTCCTTAGGTGATTGTGCACGATTCTTTTCTGATGACTTTACAGGAGATTTCTCTCTTTCCCTACTTAATTCTTGTTCAATCAAATTTTCCCCTCCATCATCTTTTTCCTCACGAAGTCGCACTGGTGAGGTATGGTCAGATACGTTTCCTTCAGACTCCTTACGCTTCTTCTTGTGCTTCTCCGAGTTCTTTGAACTTTTCTTCTTCTTCTTTTTTGACTTTTTCGCCTTTTTTCTAGCATGAGAGTCTTCATCATTTTCAGATACCGAAACCGATGACGATCGACCCTGATGTTTCTTTTTGGTCTCTGATTTGGAACGTTTTCGCTTTGAGTGCTTTTTCTTTTTCCCCTTCTTGTTTTCGGAACGTCTGAAAAGAGAAAAAGTAGAACTCGCCACTATAAAAGAACATAAAATTACTTTGTTTTCTCTTCAACAGACTCGCTCGAAGAATCACGATAATGACACTCCTCCTTTTGTGTTCCACCGTCCCTAAAATGTTAGGATTTCTAGTACATTTTAGAGGCAACGTCAAGGTATGTTTCTTCAGAGTTTAAGACTAGTCCAAGATTATTTTAGCCACAAATGAACCGCACTTCATGAGAACTTCAATCAAGTAAGATTAACAGTTATTACATCTACGTGTATTAATGCACACTTTACCTCGACGAGAAGCGATCGGCTACACCCTTCGAGTCAGAATCGCGATTTTTCAACTTTTTCGGAGATCTTTTTTCTATAGAACGTGAACGTCTTTCACCAGGTGACCTGAGGAACAATAGAGGTCAACTTTGAAGCTCATCTTGTGGAAACTGTTCCAAACCTACATCGAACGTTCACTGCTTTCATTCGACCTTAAAGGTGAACTTTTTTCTCCTTTATCCCTCTGACTTCTTCGGCTTGATGGACTTTTGGGCTTTGATTGATTCTCCTTGCTGAAATTTTGACCTGATCTATAAGTATACTCATAGACAAAATATCTAAAGTGAATTTATTTGCGAGTAAACTTGTACTAAAAATTGGTGCATTTCTAACGACATTCGTAACAGCTAAAATAAAACAGAATCTTTTACAACTTCGAAATTCTAAGGATAATTAACTTTGATAAAACCTTCTCATAGTTTTAGAAAAAATTTTCGTCCAAGAAGAATACAAGAAAGTTACAAGAAAGATAAACAGGCATTTTAGTGCATTTATCAAAAACTTCCACTACACTTAGGATATTGACTTAGATTTTTTCGTTCTCTTACACTGATCAATACAGCAGGAATTTGTTCTTTTCAATAACTGGAGATTTAAAAAATGGAACTAGAAAACATCGGCGAAGGTAACTAAGAGAAAAATAGATGTAAATCTCAAATAGTGATACAAGACAAAGGAAAGATCATAGCTGCGAACCTTTTCCTAGTAAAGGTACAGCGTGAATGGCGTTCCTCTTCTTTGTTCTCAGTAAATCTCGAATGGCGATGCTTCCCATCTGGGTGCATAGTATTCGACAAAAGAATAGAGAAGTCATCAACACAAAAGAAAGGTATAGGATAGTAACTGGCTACGAGGTAACCAAAAGGCAAAAGATAGAATAATCTCAATAAATGAATGAAAAACCAAAAGTGTGAAAGCACCTGTCGATGTGGAAGATTTATTTTTCGAAACTTCTTTTTTATGCTTCGTCGTAACCGGTGAACCGCTGCGGGAAGCTGAAGATTTACTGCTAGTAGATTCGTTTGATGAGCCTGACAAGGTTCGAAAGAAATAGTGTTTCAGAAAAAGAATAATTTCATTGCCATTAAAAATCAAATAGCCTTCGTAGAGCCTATGTTACAAAGAAGAATTTGATAGGTTGGCCATCTGCTGACCAACAGAGCAGTGAATAGGTCAACTTCTTGTCCAGAAACAAATATTAGTATTGTGGCTGCTGAGAGGCTAATCTGTATGGGCAATAGTAATCCAGAACTGTTTAAATTTGCCGAACTTGCAAAAAAAACAGTATAAGCATAAATTTTTAAAAAGAACTGGGTGCTAAAGCATCTTGAAAAGATGAACATACTTCTATCGTTTGAAGTGCTTCTATCAGAATCAGTCGAGCTGGAAGAACTGCTATCGGATCTTGTGTTTCTCCTATCGGATACCTTCTTAGAACCACCAACAACAGATTTTTTCGATCTACTCTTTCCGTCCATTTTTGGTTTATGCGGTGCTAAGGCTGCTTCACTTGTCCGTTCTTCAGGATCGGAAGGAATTGGTTCGACGTCGGCGTTATCGTCAGAGGAGTCATAACGACGTCTCTTGGACATACCTTTTAAAGAAGTGCGTTACATGAATTACCTCAAACCTAAATTTGAAAAAGAAAAACAAGAAAAAAGCCAAACAGGAGCTGTTCATGAACTTCTGAGGCCTTACAGAAAAACGTCGGAACAGCGCATAACAAGTAGTCCAGAGAACATAGACAAATAGAGGTCCACCAAGCTAGAAAAGTTGAACATTTACAAAACATGTAGCAATCTCTTGATGTTATAAGCGGTCCCTCCCAACGGTATACCGCCTCATCGTGACTGGGAGATGCTCCTGGGTGTGGGACTGCGATGTACAGCGGGAAGATTCGTACCCCTGGTAGGTTCTCCCAAGTTGAGAAGGAGTCCAACGTTTCCATCAGGAAGCCTAGCTAATAGTAGACCAATACTAGGATCCACCACCATCCTGGTATCAAACTAGTCCCACGGTGCAAACCTCCCTCTGATCCACAAGGGCAGCGACTACCTATGGTGACAACAACCT